AGACAGAAGAGATGAAGATGTCTGACCAGCCGACAACAACAACAGCCGACCAATCACCTTGCAACGTGAGGAATTTGAAGGAAGTCAATACTTTCACACATCTAGGCAGCACCACTTCAACCATATGCGGATGATGCCAAAACCAGTCAGGATTGTAACACACGCGCCATGTCCTCGAGTGGGAAATAACTTTGCATGTTAATCTAGACAGAGGTATTTCTACCATCTAAACTGAAGAGCGAGAGAGAGATTGTCGTCATAAAACCTTTTTTTTGAATTTTTAACTCTATTCGGTGCCACTAAAAATAGTAAACTGTGTTATTTGTCAGTGTCAATTCACAATGATTGACTGATAATCGTTAATTATTTATCGATCAGTTTAGTATCAAGTGTCTGTTTCATTAGAAACACGAGACTTCTAAATATCATTCTTTTTATGTTTTCCAGCCTACACTTTATTTCCGTACATACATACTCCCAGTGGCCTCCAAGCTTTGAAATTGTTGTTTCTTACTGGGGAGGGATTTTGCTGGTCCCACACCCCACTCAACCTTCCCTCTGGCCTACTTATAGGCTAGCAAGCTAGAAGAGGTTTAGAAAGTGAATCGGTAAGGAATCGAACCACGGACCACATGCCTGTGTGATTGTCGAAGAATTCTCTAATCGAACTACTAACGCTTCGAACTAAAAACTGAATGTAATTACTAGTAGTTCAAACGTCTGTCTGGGTTCAGCATAGAACTTGGCACCGAAGTGCAGCAGTTCCAATTGCCACGTTCCGAATACCATACAAAGGTAGACAAGAAAGTTAGTGATGAAGAGAATCAATAGAGTTTTGACAAGCATTAGAGTGAAACAGAATAAGCAATGGTAGAAAGGAATATGGAAGACTACAGAGATTGAATACATCTGCGTAAGCCATTGACAACAATTTTGAGCCATGTCACCTATTTTCTCCAGCCATTGATTCTTAGAGTCCCTAGGGCGAGCCCCAACCTGGAAGTCTGCATCTCCCTCCCTAACTGACTCAGTTTAACTGTCAGGGATTTCATGGATTGATGAGGCCATGTTATTGTTTGGACACCAGTTACTCTTTTCCAACCTGCACCTATATCAGCTAGTAATGCCCGTCCGTCGGGGGAAGCGATGGTTAGGCGTGCGCAACTCGTGATCTAGCCATCTCAATCTATGTAACTTTATAGCCTCGTTGATTGATTTTCCCTCTTTGCCCAACACTCTACGCCTAACGTCAACATTACTTATCTTATTATGCCACCTAACATGAGAAAGAGATCGTAGACATCAAACGTATTCAATTCAATTTTAGATTTTCCCGTCGATTGATTCGACCGAAGTGTTCGGTTTCAGGTTAACATGTCGGCTCCTTGTGCAGATGCTTCGAAGACGTCTGTTCATGTGACTAGAAGTCGATTGGTGGATGGTAACTAGCAGTGTGTTATCCAGGATAACGCGCATTTCGTCCTATTTGGGACTCGTCAGTTAACTGGATGTACCTGCATTCCCCAGTGAGTTAGTGATGGTGTTCCCACAGAGGCTCAAACCCAGTCAGTGCCCATAGTTTCAAACGCCAAACCATTATCCACTAGACCACTTGGGCGACGACAGCCACCTCTCATGCAACGGGTCATACTATTTATTCTATTCAATTTTAGATTTTCCTATCGATTTGTTGTGGAATGCAAGTACATCCAATTAACTGACGAGCCCCAAATAGGACGAAATGCGCATTGTTCTGGATTCCATCACTGCTAGTCACCATTCACCAATTAATTCAAACGTATCTTAGATTCATAGATTGCTTTTCATATTTTTAAATTTTTTTTTCAAGAGTTCACATGTGAATGGAATTTTATTAAGTGTAGAAAATATCAACACACCCACTGTGATAAGCACTTCTAGTCACAATTAATCCTACTTGCTTATTTTATCACGTTGTCATCATCAACGACAGTGTACAACATCGAATTATACCCGCGCCTACACACAAACACACACATACATACACCTAGAGGGATGGATGCTCACAGCAAGGTAGAATAAAACTGCGATCATGTGTGTATCAAATATATCTCAGCTTTTGTCAAAAAAATAAATAAATGAATATATTTCATTCATGTGAGTACAGTAGGCTTTTCATGATAACTTTGTAGTTATCACAAAATGTTTGACCCAACCACGTTTTCAAAAGAATAGATACTGAACAAAGAATACTCCTGCTGACAACTTCATCATCAGGCTCTACAGTTATATATACACTATAGTGAGTGAATGAATAAATTGGTGTTATGAACAACATTAATTTTGTTTGAATAACATCGAATCAATAATATTGATCAACAGCTGTACGACAACGGCACATGTCAAGTAATCCACAACGGAAAACTCACTAAGCGAGGCGTTTGGAGTAAACACAGGAGTCAGACAAGGGTGCTTATTATCACCAATGATATTGCTAATTGTGGTGGACTGGATTATGCGTCGTCAGACAGTGAGAAACGAGACGACAGGAATATCCTGGACCGACGTGAAGTATCTAGAAGACCTGGATTTCGCGCGTGGATGATTTATGTTTGATGTCACACACAAGATCGAAGACTTACAAGCGACAACCGACAAACTGGTCGAATAAGTAACAAAGACAGGACTCCAGGTGAACATAGACAAGACGGAGGTTATGAAAATAACCAACCACCACCAACAATAACAACAACAGCAGCAGCAACATCCACCGCAAATCACCATCAAGGGAGGGATTTGAAAGAGGTTACTTATTTCACTTATCTAGGGATCATTGTCTCAACTACAGGAGGAACGGACGACGATTTCAATTCGAGAATCGGGAAGGCGAGAAACACATTCATCAACCTGAAACCAATCTGGAAATCTTCGTCACTCACCATCAACAACAAAATTCGGATTTTCAATACAAACGTCAAGTCAGTTTTGCTATACGGATCAGAAACTTGGCCAGTGTGTCACCAAGAATATTTCCAACAGCCTGTTGCAGGGACAACTTTATCAACAACTGTCTTCGCCCTATACTCAAGATCAGATGGCCGGAAAGAACAAGAACCAACAAGAAACTATGGGAACAAACGAAACAAGAACCAATCGGTCAAGAAATATGCAGGAGAAAGTGGAGATGGATCGGACACTCGCTGAGGAGGCCGCTGGGTGACATCATGCGTCAGGCCAACGCTCGAGTGGAACGCGAAAGGGAATCGGCGAGTGGTTCGTCGGTGCAAGGGTGACATGGAGGAGATCGTGTGATGAGGAACTGAAACACTATGGATTAACATGGATGCAAGTGAAAAATACAGCAGAAGATAGAAGAAAGTGGAGGCGTGCAGTGGAAGCCCTATGTTCCACTAGGAACCCAAGGGAAAAATAATAATAATATTGATAGATTATGGCTCAGTAACATCAACATAAAAATAAACTGAATATCAGAAAAACTAGGAAAGATAATAATACAAATTCATAAATTTATCGTCTCCACTAAAGACCAACCAGTGCAGTAGAAGTGGCTGGCTGGACTTGCTTCTTCTGCACACAGAGCACTGGTTGTTTCACGCGAATTGCGATATCCTCTGCTGTTTGATGTTTTTGCCAATTTATTTGGTACTTGATAGGTGATGATAGAGAAGGATTCTTCCACGCTGGCTGGCTTTGTGGTCGGTTTGCACCAGATGGTCTAATATTGAACTGTTGATGATGGTTTTCACTACACCTTTACTTAGCCATACTGGGAGATGTTGCCGAGCAAGCACGAAAAATCAAGTTCCTAGAGCAATGGCCAATATAACTCGTTCGACCATAAGCGCACTTGAATTGGTAGATACAATTTGAAGTGGCTAGTCTAGGTACTTCATCTTTCAGTCGAGGTAGCACCATCGGTCTTGTAGAGAATAAAACGTATAGTTCGCCAGCATTAAAAGTTCTTTGAACTGATTTTTTTAAAATTTCTTCGTACTTATTTCACTTGGTATATCGCCCTTGAATTGCAGTCGTGTATAAAGAGGCTTCTTGCTTACGTATAGTGAATAGTCCTTTTCCGCTTTCTTTGTCATTTGTTTCTTGATAAATTTGTCGGGATAGCTATTTTCGATCAAAGTATCACATACAATGCTTAATTCATCTTCAATTACTTCTTCTGACCACATAGCTCTAACTCTGTGGTTGAGGGTCTTTACTAAATTTCTATTGTACTGGAGAGGAACGAAGCTGTGAAAATGTGCATATTGTCTTGTCCAAGTACTTTTTCTATGCAAATTTCTTTTTATGCTACCATCTGGCTTTCTTGTAAGGAGGAAATCCATGAAGGCAATTCTGTCTTGGGATTCCTCTTCGCATGTGAATTTCATAGCCGAATGTACTTCATTGAACTCGATTATTGTACTCCTACCCGAATCATCCATATCCCCAAAATAAAATGAGAACTTCCTGATAAGGTTGTTGAAAGATCCATTTTCTAGTTTGCTTAGAAAGAAATCCGCCAAAATGGGACTCAATGAGGAGCCCATCGCCACCCCGTCCCCTTGTCTGTAAAGTGTGCCGTCAAATTTGAAATTTACATTCATGGTACACCTTAATAACAATTCTTTTAGGATTTCAGTAAGGATGCCAATGTTTATCGACTGGTTATCCACTTGTTCACATATGTAGTTAACTGTTTCTACTAGAGGTACATTTGTGAATAAAGATGTTATGTCCAGAGATATCATGGCTTTGTCCTTGATATTAATATCTTTGATTTTGTCTATGAATTCAAATACATCTTTGACGCTATATTTCACTATCTTCTCATGCAAAGGTTTGAGAATATTTACTAACCCTCTAGCTAGAGCATGGTAGGGTGAATTTTGCATATCAAGTATTGGTCTTAACCACGTTTGTCACTAACATGCACACACACAACACGTTTGAGGAGAAAGTAAAAAGATTTTGAGAAGAAGAAAAAAACACAATCGAAAACTTACTCAAAATATCTGTTTCATCGACTATTTCAGCTTGAATAATCTCTTCGATAACATCTTCCAAAGTGACTAAACCAATCATTTCTCTGTATGGATCACATTCACCTTCTGTTACTAAACGTTCAACAAATGCCATATGAGCTCTTCCTATGAAAACAAAATGAATAATATTCAATGAGAATGTGAATAAACGAGAATACACGAAAAGCTGTGGTATATAAAAATATGAAAATTTAAATAATACGGATGTGTAACACAGCGACCTAAAGTTTGGCTACTATGATACTCACCCAATAAGTAATTGTTACACACAGTAAACAGTACGCGCTCTGATCGTCTCTCTGTACAACAGAATTCAATGAGAGGCTCTGACAGAAATTGATGGAAAACCCTGTGTATAAGGAATACCACATTTAGAAGAAGCAGAGGTTAGTTACAGACTGTATCATAAGACAGTTCCTTACTATTGTTCCTGAAAGAAGCTTTAAAGTCGAATTTATGAAAACTATCAAAGTAGAATATCAGCCTACACCAGAGGTAATATTGTTCCTATTTAACTGAAAGAACATTTATCGAGATGAGCAACACAATATACTATGGTATTCAAGTATTGGTTTGTAGGGATTTTGATTGATTGGTTACAGGATTTCATCATGAACTGACATTAGTTAGAGAACCATTGGAAAACCACCAAAGAGTACTGGACAGCTGTTTCGTCCTAGTTTGAAACTCCTCATCAGCACGCACCCACATCCAGGGCTAGAACCCAGGACCTTCAGGTTACAAAGCTAGCTCGTTGACCATTAAGCCACTGGGACCCGATCCAATGAACAATGAATTCCAACTTCTACCAATTCACGACACAGCGCGACCACTAGCTAATGTCGTCGCTGGCGAGTACCCTACTGGTCACGATTTCCTACTAGAACCCCAGGTAACTACCTACCTGAATAGAGTCAGTTGCTAGCGAGTATCTTAATGATATTCAAATATTGGTTCGTAGGGATTTGATTGGCGTGCTGATGAAGAGTTCCAAACTACGACGAAACAGTTGTCCAGTACTCCCAGGTTTTCCAATCGGTTTCTCTAACCGATATCAGCTCATGATGAAATTCTGTAACAATACCTATGAATTGAAAATGCATTACCAATCATTTAAATGTTACTTCTAAGATCACAAGGGTGAATTTCTTTCAAACTGTTGTCGTTTTTCGTCAATTTAACTGAAGATGGTATTACACCATTTCAAACACTTTAACACAGCATTAAAAATGGAATTCAAATAGAAACTCTGAATTCTATATCAATTTGTTTATTGGATATATCTCACACACAATGAAAGAGTATTTATTAGTACTGCATGACAAAGTTTCGCATACAATTTATTGTTTGTTCATAAGCATATCAAAAGTAAGTAAGAAAGTTTCGTTTTATAGTTTTCTTTATTCCTTCCTGGTGGTTGCAGGGGTAGTAGAATTTTCCAAATGTCCGGGTGGATAGCTGTTGAGTCATTCCTATTGTAGGCACGTATTTGCTTTCAGTTGATTCGATAAACAAAGCTTCTGTTATCAATCTCTCCCCCCACCCAGTTATATCAGTTAGATTTTAAAACTGTCATCTTATCCCATCATCCTATTGTGTGGTTGTGTGTAATTGCATGTAGTCAGTGCTATAGATGAGCAATTCTGCAGGTGTCTCAACAGAATGATCATTTAACTGACACAATTTGTTTCTAAGTGAGTTAGTAGGTTTACATGTCACCTTAAGTTCCTTTCTTGTTAAGATTTCCACAAAAGTTTTAGAGGTCCCCTGTTTTCATAAAAGCGTACTATTAATTTGCATGTAGTTGGTTACAGGATTTCATCATGAGCTGACATCGGCTAGCGGTCGCCCTATGTCGTGAATTGGCAGAAGTTGGAAATCATGGACTGGCCATTGGATTGATGGGTCCCAGTAGCTTAATGGTCTAGGAGCTAACCTGCCTTGTAACCAGAAGGTCCTGGGTTCGAACCGTGGCGGTGGGTCCGTGCTGCTGAAGAGTCCCAAACTAGACAGACGAAATATCTGTCCAGTATTCCCTGGCTGGTTTATCAGTGGTTCTCTAACCGATGTCAGCTCATGATGAAATCCTCCAACCAATCAATCAAATCCCTACAAACCAATACTTGAAAAATGAATGTATTTATTAAGCTTGTTAAAATTTAGTACCTAGTTATACTATAAGAAAGATGCTAAAATTGTAGAACGAGAATAGCTTCACAAATCACTACTTTTTCTGCTATGAAAAACTACCGATGACTTCATTTCTGTGAATTACTGCGTTAAGCAGGTTATAAAAGAAACAAATCAACGAAACTGTTTTAAATTTTGAAACTGTTAACAATGAAGAGGCTTAGATGGTGAAAACGATTGAAGAAGTACCCCATAAAAAAAGTTGCAGGAGTCAAATTCTAATGTCAAACACTAGTGTTTACAGGAAACCCACGCATTCAAACAGATATTTGGACTTCTGATCATCCCATCCTATGTCAGTAAAAATAGGATTGGTGAAATGTTTAAGTGACAGAGCACAAACCTTAAGCAGTACCAAAGAAAATCTAAGACAGGAAGTGAGGCATATAACAGAAGCTTTGAAACTTAATAATTACCCTGATAAATCAATCAGCAATTATTTGGGAAAATGTAAAAATCAATAATAATAGTGGTAGTGATGCTGATAATAATAATAATATTGATAATATTAATGACGAAATGCATGTCAAATATGCACAGGATAATGACACCACCAACAATAAGGAATTCGAGTCACCAGTAGTGCTTCCATGCAAAGAAGGAACCTCGGAAACCAGCTTACGGAGAATTCTTAACAGTAGCAGGAATAAAAGTGGATGGAATTCAAACCACACACAAACTCAATTAGAAACAAGCTTTCTCGTTTAAAGGATAAATGCTGTGAAGCCTTTTAAACAAAACAATTTAGTTTATCTAATACCCTGCTGGAATGATTGTCAGCTCAAATACATAGGTTAGGGTAGTAAAACAGGGGCAGTCAATCAGACTAGCCAAGCATAAAAACCTAGCAAAATGTAGGTTAGTTGACCCGAATAAGATGAGAAATCTAGAAGATAGTTCCGCCATAGCACTCACCACATGCGATTACACACAACCATACGATAGGATGGGATAGGATGACAGGTTTAAAATCTAATGTAACAGCAGGGTGGAGGGAGATATTGATAACGGAAGCTTTATTTATCCAATCAACTGAAGGAGAATACGTGCCTGCATTGAGAATGACTGAAAACCTGTCCACCCGGGCATCTGGAAAATTCTACTAGTCCTACGAAGAATAGGTAAGAATAAAGAGAACTATAAAAAAGGGAGTTTCGAAGTTTTGTGGTTACATTTGATGATATCATTATGAACAATGATAAATTGTATTTTAAACTTCATCATCCAGTAGATAATACTGTTCCTCTGACTGTATAATATATCTCATCAACAAATTAATATGAGTTGATCACGGACTGATATCAATTAGAGAACCATTGAAAACCAGAGAGTACTGGACAGCTGCTGTTTCATCCTAGTTTGGGAATCATTGGCAGTACGCACCCGCCGCCAGGGTTCGAACCCAGGACCTTCCGGTGAGTGCGCAGTGCCGATGATTCCCAAACCAGGATGAAACAGCTGCCCAGTACCCCATGTTGGTTTTCAATGGTTCTCTGTAACTGATATCAATCCGCGATCAACTCGTAAAAATAAATCTAATCCTTACAAACCAACTATAGAAAATTAATATGAGTCAAATTCAGTTGCCTGATTGACTCTTTGATATTCATTATTATAAAAGTTTCTGTACTTCCCAATCAATGAAAAACAAAACGGTATTGTTGTTTTTACTGACGTTACGCTACTTAATGCTGCTGCTAATAGCTTTACCAAAGTAGTATTATTAAACCAGAATTTACAAAATCTCAGCTTGTATATACAGTAACTCAATCATCGTTCATCAGCTTGGAGTAATTTTTACGTTATCAAGTTGACCAATTGAAAAAGATAACAAAACCATGTGTAGATTGTTAGATTTGATAAGCGTATAAAATTACAAAAACAGCATGAGTTTACATAACGAATTTGCTTATCACATTCGTGTTGATTCTGACATTTCATGGGGGTGGGGGCGGGTGTACCAACCAGGTTAAATTCGGCTTAAGTCCATCATTCCTATTCAGACAATTTGGATTCCATTTGATATGAAGTGCATCTGATGGTATTAGACGTTCTTCGTGATTTCTGAAATTTCTCTGGATGATGATTTCAATATTATCAAAATCAATTTTGTGGCCTGATTCCATAGCGTATAGACCTACAGCTGATGATTTTTCAAGCTTGCCTAGTTCAACTGGATTTCTCAGTGGTTGAATAGATGCTCTACGGTGTTCATTTCCTCTGATGTTGATTTCTCTCTGGTGATGTTTGTCCGATACATATTGCACCACATTCCAAGCATTTTATTTCGTAGAAACAGTAAGATTGTTAATCCTTTGGAAATTGGTCTTTTACATGGACAAGGTTGCTTTGTAGTGTGTTGGATGTTTTGAAGAAAACTCTGATATTGTGCTTATTGAGTACGCTTCCGATATCGTCTGCCGTTTCTGACCATATTTAATGTCAGTGTTGATTTTGTTGATGAAGTTTCATGGGTAGTTATTTTGCTTGAAAGTCTCAGTAATGTTTGATATTTCTTCTTCTTTTTCTTTTTCCTTCCCATCTGTTATCAAAAAGTGTGTTAGTCTAAGAAGACTTGAAACAACTGATACCTTCGCGCTGATGGGGTGTGATGATTCGAAGTCTAAATATTTATTGGAATGGGTTTTCTTCCTGAATATGCATATACTAAAATTTCCGTTTTCCCTTCTCTTAACTAGGCAGTCTAGAGACGATAGTTCACCGATGATTAGGCTGTTATATATAAGCTGAGATTTTGTTAATATTTTGATTTTGACAATATTGAAATCATTATTCAGAAATCACAAAGAACGTCTAATATCATCAGAAACACTTCAAATCAAATGGAATCCAAATTTAATAATAATAATAATTTGCTTTATTCCAAAACAGTACTTGTGATACAGAATGGAATT